CACCCCCACAGCACTGTAACTCTAGGCCTTTTCCACAGCAGTTTATTATATCTGACTTCCATTCTAGTGTGACAGACTGTTGGGGCCCACTTTCCAGCATTAGCAGAAGAGAATGTGTGCATGATATGGCTGTGAGACATAAGCTGTTTTAAATTATCGTTAGTAGATTTTAAGACAACTAGGTAATACCTCCCTAGATCAGATAGAGGCATTCAGGTGCCTAGAAACGACAGCATTTGGCCTGCAGTGTAGATAACCATATATGCCACATCAGAGAACCTGGGTTAGAAGTGGGGGCTGGGCATGTAGCTTGTGGGGAAGCCACCAGTTGGGTTGCCTGTATCCCATATAGGGATGCCAGGGTTGAAGTGCTTGGTCCTCTTCTGATGCCAGGTTCCTACTTATGTGTACCCTGGAAGGCAGCAGTGATGGCTCAAGTAAGTAGGTCCCTACCATGCATGTGGGAGACCTGGATCAAGTTCCTGCTCCTGGCTTCAGCCTCACCAAGCCCTGGCCATTTGCAGACATTTGAGGAGTGAACCAGTAGATGGTTCACTTGCTCTCTGTCTCTTACTCTCTCAAAAAACCAAAAAACCATTGGCTGAGTACTAACATGGGATGCATTGTATACTGACAAAAGTTATGCTGTACTGCAGTATTCTATAGTGTCATCAGGGCCTTGTTTATTTGCTCCAATAACTTTGAAATGATAGTGTAGTTTTTGACAGTGTCTTCATTTGAAGGAATTTGCATTTAAAGTTTTGCAAATAGACTGAAATTTTGTTGATTATTGCATCAATCCGTTTTACATTTGTATATTTAAGATTCATACTTGATGTGATGGCAGTCCACTGAAATAGGCAAAGGGGATCAGAGACTGATTCAGAATCGAGACAGTTTGTTCTGAATAAACCTTAAATTTCAATTCTGAAGAGTGGAGGAGAATTTTTGACAATCTCTTCTGTCTTCTGCCTGCCTAATCTATGGTAGGCAGTTCGGCTTTCCATGTACGCGTGCCCCCAAAGCCGAGCCTGTCTCCCAGTAGCTGCCACTCATTCATTTCATTTCCTGGTCTCTCATTATGGTTCTACTCCTTTTCCCTATTCACTTCTCCATCCCCTTCTGACTTCAGTCTGATGCTTTGCCTGTTTTAATTGGGAGACTTTATTTTTTTTAAAGATTGATTTTATTTATTTGAAAGAGTTACAGAGAGAGGTAGAGCCAGAGAGAGAGAGAGAGAGGTCTTCCATCTGCTGATTCATTCCCCAAATGACCACAATGGCCAGAGCTGAGCTGATCCAAAGCCAGGAGTTTCTTGGGGTCTCCCACGCAGGTGCAGGGGCTCAAGGACTTGGGCCATCTTCCATTGCTTTCCCAGGCTATAACAGAGAGCTGGATAGGAAGAGGAGCAGCCGGTACTTGAACGGGCACCTATATGGGATGCTGGTGCTGCAGGCCGCAGCTCTAATCTGGTGTGCCACCGTGCTGGCCCTGGAGGACTTTATTTCTAATGAGGAGCCTTAGACTGTGAACTCAGAGGCTTGCCATCAGGTTATTGATTCAAGGAAGCAACCTGCCCATCAGCCCAACAGCCAAAAAGGCGACCTAAAACTGATGAGAAATGAGACCTGTGCCCCACCGCCATGGTAAGCTTCCTTTCTCAGCAGTGCTTCTGGAAGGATAGCATTAGCCCTTCCTGCACAGGTTAGCCAGCCTGGGTTGCCATAACAAAATACCAGAGACTGGGCTGGACAAACAGAAATGTGTTTTTTTTTTTTTTTCTGGGAGCTGCAAGGCCGAGATCAAGGTGCCAGCAGGGTCAGGTGCCAGTGGGGGCCGCCCTCTCCTGTGTCCTCACATGGCACAGAGAAAGCATGCGCTCTGCTCTCCCACTTCTTACAGCAGCGCCAAGCCCATCACCAGGGTTCCATCCTCATATCCTCATCTAAACCCAGTGACTTCCCAAGGACCCCACCTCCAAACACCGTTACACTTGGGGTTAAGGCTTCAAAACAGGAGGTCTGGGGGACCTACCTGTATAGTTCCTAACAGTCGACTTTTTTTTTTTTAATGCATACTGTAGGAAATATTTGAAAAATATAAAGTAATTTGCAATTTTAAGGTATTTTTGTTTATTAGCAAGTTTCTAGGCCTTTCCTGTGTCTTAATATCTAAGGGAAGTAAATTCTTTGTGAGCAATATTTAGGAAACTATGGCCCTGGTACAACTTGAAGTTTAAATAGCAAAATATTAAGCATACAGAGTACTGATGCTGTGTGACTGTCTGTACCATCCTCTGATGCTTAGGTGTCCTGTCCTGTGACAGTGCACATATTTTCATTCAGTAGAAACTGTCAATATCTGATAGATCCTATAGCAAGCTAAGTGCACCTTGAGAGAATGGGAAGCAGGCCAGCTGCATCTTGAGGGAGGCAGAGGATTGAGTAAGGGTTGGGTCATGGCATAGTAAGGGCAGGAGATGGAGGTGAGGGACGGAGCATTCTTGCCTGAGGTCCTCCCCCAGCTGCAGAGGAAAGGAGGTGATGGCAGCAAACCGTGGTGAGAAAGCCCTGGAACACCAGTTAGGGATGCTGTTATTGGAGGTGGGCCAGTGGTAGAGGGTATGGAAGGGTGTACTCAGAACAGGCTTTTCCTCGTGCACAGCTAATACTGCCATGCTTGCCGGTAGCTTATAGTGAGCACCTTGTCAAAGTTGAATGAGTGGTTGCATGAACAATGAGGGAATGCCCCTAGAGCATACAGCTTCACCTCACCCCCAGCCCTGTGCTTGAGTTCTGCGAAGTTTCAGACCTGCAAACTAAGGGGGGGAAGCTTCGAGATAAACAAGAAAGCAGAGAAGCTGGTGTCGGTTGCTGAACAGGAGTGTCTTGGGATCTCAGTTTACCTAAAGATGGATCATTTAGAGAACATAGTCATTGAAATGTAGTTTCTCCCTAGGTGTTTCCATTTCTTTTTTCTCTTGGAATCTCTTTTTGTTTCTCCTGAGCGCCCTTTGGTTCTCATCTAAATAGTCAGTCTGCTTTGGAAATGAAACATTATCCAAGCACAGCATTGCTTGGAATGAAGGTAGGTAATGGAACAGACTCTGACACATAGGCCTTTTATAGCTACAATTGTTTCTTTCTTTATTAGTTTTTTTAACAGATGGTTTTAGTGGCTCAGTTATTGCACATTAATTGCCATGACTTGCAGAAAATGAATCATATCTTTCTGGGTTTGTGTGCGTTACCGCTAGGACACATCTTTTATTATTTCTGTTAAAGCTATAAAAGTGTTTTCAAAATTGAGTTTATGTTTTTAATATTTCAAGTCTTGGTTTCATATTGTTTTTGAAAAATTTGTGTTTTTTTCTTAAATAGTGTTAATATAGCCCTCGCCGTTTATTTTCAAAATGGCTTAATTAGTTGGAAGAAGCACTATTTTTTTAGAGAAGCATATATTTTAAAAATTGGACACTTAAGTTGTCAATTTGAGTTTTTCTATTCTGAATTGTATAGTTCCATTACTTTGTTAGACTCAGAACAGCATAAAATATCAAAGTTGAAGGGGTTGCAGAGTATGTCAAACAGGGTGTGACCCTTGCCAACCTAATCCTCGTTTCCATAAATTTAAAAAAAATTAAATGCAGTCTGAAATTCAAAGCAAATTACCTTGAAATGCTGTTACCAAAACCAATGTGATACTGTGCCAATTTTTCTTTATTGTAAATCACAAATGGCTTTGAGAGTCTTCTATTTCCAAGGGTATATTCCTATTCACTGTCAAAATGGTTGTTAGATTAAGTTCCTCATTTTCTGGAGAAAGAATGAAATCTAAGGATTCAAAGAGTGCTCACGCACTCAGTTATTGGGAGTAGCACTCTAGAGGCTGACACGGTGGTGCAGTGGGTTAAGTCACCTTCTGCAGTGCTGGCATCCCATATGGGCACTGGTTTAAGTCCCAGTTGCTCCGCTTCCAAACCAACTCCCTGCTAATGCACCTGGGAAAGCAGAAGAAGATAGCCCAAGTTCTTAGACCCCTGTACCCACGCGAGAAACCTGGAAGAATCTCTTGGCTCCTGGCTTTGGATTGGCACAGCCCAAGCTATAGTGGCCATTTGGGGAGTGAACCAGCAGATAGATTTATTTATCTATTTATTTATTTGAAAGTCTGTGTTACACAGAGAGAGAAGGAGAAGCAGAGAGAGAGAGGTCTTCCATCTGCTGGTTCACTCCCCGATTGGCTGCAACGGCTGGAACTATGCTGATCCAAAGCCAGGAGCCAGGAGCTTCCTTGGGTCCCCCAAATGGGTGCAGGGGCCCAAGGACTTGGGCCATCCTCTACTACCTCCCCAGGCCATAGCAGAGAGCTGGATTGGAAGTCAAGCAGCCAGGACTCAAACCGGCACACATGTGGGATGCCAGCACTGCAGGCGGTGGCCTTACCCCCTACACCACAGTGCCAGTCTTGAAAGATCTATTTCTCTCTGTAACTCTACCTTTCAAATAAATATATAAATCTTAAAAATAAAGAAGCAGAAGGAAAAAGGAACAGAACTTGATCAAGAACCCAGCCATGCCGTGGGCAGGCCAGGGCTTTGTCCACATACTCATGTTATTTAAGGACGCTCTCTAGGCCAAGGAGACATCTCCCCCAGTGTCATCTCCCTATATCACTGATATTTAGGAAAGCTGTTTTGACTTGGCATCATCGGAATGGAACAGGGGCAGAGGCCAGGGGAGACTTAGCTGTGGCTAGTCCAGGGGTCTTGGATTGCTTTGGCTCCCTTTATTTTGTTTCAGACATTGGTACTGCTGTGACACATATGCACTTCCTGGACGTAGCTGCTAGGAGGATTACTGGGGCAGCATCTAAAGATGAAGATGGATGCACTTTGGAAATGAAATTTGAATCTGTGTCACATTGAGAGCTCTGATTGATGATTTTCCCTGCACAACTCAACAGATTCTCTCAGATTTCTAATTTTTTTTTTTTAACAGTGTGTCTGGCGGAGAGCTGTTTGATCGGATAGTGGAGAAGGGGTTTTACACCGAGAAGGATGCCAGCACGCTGATCCGCCAGGTCTTAGATGCTGTGTACTATCTCCACAGAATGGGCATCGTCCACAGAGACCTTAAGGTGAGGCCGTCGCTTAGCAACATCCTACAGGCACTGCGCAACCCACCATCCACCTGTTCTCGAGGTTTAGCTCCAGGGGAGAAGCTAGGCTTTTTTGAGTAGGAGTTGGGGGGAAATAACTGGTGAATATTTGTGCACCTCGGTATTACCTGTTGCACCCCACCCTGGTCGCTATAGGTACTGCAGGGCGCACAGCTCACACTGCGAATTTGACAGTGAAATGCAGCGTGGTTGCATTCTGCAGTGTTGCAGGCCCAGCCGCAGCCCCAGAGCTTCCTGCACTGGTCAAGACAGAAATCCCACCCGCCCACCCAGAAGGCCTGGATTGTGCTGAAGCCATGCGATTCACAACCTTAGGAACTCTAAACCAAATGAGGCATACACATTTGGTAAAACAGGGCTCCAGCACCAGCCCATTATCTGCCACTGAGTGTCAGGAAATAAAACACCGTCACTGTTTCTTTCAGTGAAGGCTCATTACCAAACGTGCTCTTCGCTCTGTTATGGTCCACTGACTGGGGCAGTGGTTCACAAGTGTTAGAATGCATCAGAACCATCCAGAGCCAGCGCCGTGGCTCAATAGGCTAATCCTCCACCTTGCGGCGCCGGCACACCAGGTTCTAGTCCTGGTCGGGGCGCCGGATTCTGTCCCGGTTACCCCTCTTCCAGGCCAGCTCTCTGCTGTGGCCAGGGAGTGCAGTGGAGGATGGCCAAAGTGCTTGGGCCCTGCACCCCATGGGAGACCAGGAGAAGCACCTGGCTCCTGGCTTCAGATCAGCGTGATGCGCTGGCTGCAGCGGCCATTGGAGGGTGAACCAGCAGCAAAAGGAAGACCTTTCTTTTTTTATTTTTTTTAACTTTTATTTAATGAATATAAATTTCCAAAGTACAGCTTATGGATTACAATGGCTCCCCCCCACCCCATAACTTCCCTCCCACCCGCAACCCTCCCCTTTCCCTCTCCCTCCCCCCTTCCATTCACATCAAGATTCATTTTCAATTCTCTTTATATACAGAAGATCAGTTTAGCATATATTAAGTAAAGATTTCAACAGTTTGCACCCACATAGAAACACAAAGTGAAAAATACTGTTTGAGTACTAGTTATAGCATTAAATCACAATTAAGGACAGAGATCCCCATAAGTGCACAGTGACTCCTGTTGTTGACTTAACAAATTGACACTCTTGTTTATGGCATCAGTAATCACCCTAGGCTCTTGTCGAGTCGCCAAGGCTATGGAAGCCTTTTGAGTTCACCAACTCTGATCATATTTAGACAAGGTCGTAGTCAAAGTGGAAGTTCTCTCCTCCCTTCAGAGAAAGGTACCTCCTTCTTTGACCTGTTCTTTTCACTGGGATCTCACTCACGGAGATCTTTCATTTAAGTTTTTTTTTTTTTTTTTTTTTTTGGCTTTCCATGCCTGTAATACTCTCATGGGCTTTTCAGCCAGATCCATGTGCCTTAAGGGCTGATTCTGAGGCCAGAGTGCTGTTTAGGACATCTGCCATTCTATGGGTCTGCTGTGTATCTCGCTTCCCATGTTGAATCGTTCTCTCCCTTTTTTATTCTATCAGCTAGTATTTGCAGACACTAGTCTTGTTTATGTGATCCCTTTGGCTCTTAGTCCTATCATTATGATCAATTGTGAACAGAAATTGATCACATGGACTATTGAGATGGCATTGGTACATGCCACCTTGATGGGATTGAATTGGAATCCCCTGGTATGTTTCAAACTCTACCGTTTGAGGTAAGTCAGCTTGAGCGTGTCCCAAATTGCACATCAAAAGGAAGACCTTTCTCTCTGTCTCTCTCTCTCACTGTCCACTCTGCCTGGAAAAAAAAAAAAAAAAGAACCATCCAGACGGCTTGAAGATCACAGACTGCTGGGCCCACCCAGGGCTTCTGATTGTTTTAGTCTGTGGTGGGGCCTGGGAGCTGGCATTTCTAAAGGGTTGGCAGGTGATGCTGTTGCCGGTCTGGGGAACACCCTGGGAGAGCCACTGGATGAGAGCATTTGCGGATGTCAGTTAAGTCGGTACAGACTTTGCAGGCTGCTTCTTTTTATTTGAAAGGCAGTGGGGAGGGAAGGGAGGCAAGGAGGGAGATAAGGAGAGAGAGAGGGAAGGAGAGAGAGAGAGAGAGGGAGAGAGAGAGAGGTTCTCATCTGCTGCCCCACTCTCCAGATGCTGTCAGTGGCTCAGGCTAAGCCAGGCAGAAACCGAGAACTAGGAACTCAGACCAGGTTTCCCATGTGGGCGGCAGGGCCCCGCTGCCTATATCATCATCGGCTGCCTCCCAGGGTTGGTACTAGCAGGAAGCTGAGGCAGGGAGCCACAGCCAGGTACCCCACCCACGCGCTCTCCTGTGGGACACAGGTATCGTAACCAGCCTCTTAACCCCTAAGCTCACTGCTGACCCCTTGGCAGGCTTTTTGACAGTTGAAATGCCCTGTGAGCATGGTTAGCTAATCTGCAAGCTTGCAGGGTTTTCAGAGGGCCCAGTAACCTGGCAGTTCCATGCCAGCCAACAGGCCTCTGCCGCCTTGTGCCAATTCTGGGCTTCCAGAACACAGCAGCCCGCTCTGGACAGGAGCAGGTGTGGTGTGAGGGGCTAGTTGTCTGTTCTTACTAACAAATGTTTTCTAGCCAGCCTGTGGAGCTTCAAGATCCCCAGGCGTTGGCCCAGCCCTGGCTGTTGTGGGCGTCTGGGGAGTAAACCGGTGGATGGAAGATCTCTGTTTCTGTCTCTGTCTCTGTCTCTCTGTTGCCCTTCCTTTCAAGTTGATGACAATAAGTAATTTTAAAAAGATCTCCAGGCTTACAGTTGTGGAAAGAACATTGCCAGAATTTGACCTCTTTGTGAACTGTTTTCAGAGGCACAAATGATTTTGACCCATGATGGAAGAAGTTGGAGTGTGAAATTTTTATAAACATCTAAAGAAATTAAAGCAATCTGTAGAAGGCAGGCCAGAGCAACAGAGAGTGTGAGCACGTTATTCCCTCAGCCCTGTATGCAAATGATTCCTCCCTCCAGAAAGGTTGTCTTAGGTCTTACTGCCCCAGGAAGCTCCGAGAGATGATCAGTCTCTCTTCTGTCAGAATATGAGGGGACTGAGACAGGAGGTACCTGCTTCTGCCACCTTTTTTTTTTTTTTAAGATGTATTTATTTATTTGAAAGGCGAAGTTACAGAGGCCGAGAGAGAGAGAAAGAGGACCTCCATCCACTGGTTCACTCCCCAGTTGGCCACAACAGCTGGAGCTGGGCCAATCTGAAGCCAGGAGCCAGGAGCTTCTTCCAGGTCTCCCATGTGGGTGCAGGGGCCCAAGCACTTGGGCTATCCTCCACTGCTTTCCTAGGCCATAGCAGAGAGCTGGATGGGAAAAGGAGCAGCCAAGACTCGAACTGGCACCCATATGGGAACCCAGTAGTGTAGGTGGTGGTTTTACCTGCTACGCCACAGCACTGGCCGCATGCTTCTGCCACTTTGAATCAGGCCAGGTTTTTTTTGTCCCCACACTACAGACATTTGGAGCTGGACCATTCCTTGTTATGTGACACAGTCCCAGATACTATAGGATGTTTAGCAGCACCCCAGGCCTTTATCCATTAGATGCCAGCATCAGTCCTGGACTTATTTTTAAGAATTTTAAGAATTTTTTTTACAGATTTATTTAATTTGAAAGGTAGAGATAGAGAGAAGGGGGGAGAGAAAGGTCTTCCATCCACTGGTTCACTCTCCAAATGGCCATAATGGCCGGGGCTGGGCCGATCTGAAACCAGGAGCCAGGAGCTTCTTCCAGATCTCCCATGTGGGTTCGGGGACCCAGGGACTTGGGGCTGTCTTCCACTACTTTCCTGGGCACATTAGCAGAGAGCTGGATGGGAAGTGGAGCAGCCAAGACTCAAGCTGGTGCACATATGGGATGCCAGCACTGCAGTCAAAGGCTTAACCTTCTGTGCCACAGCGCCGGCCCCCAGTCCTGGAATTTTAACAACCAAAACATCTCCAGGTATTGCCAAACATCCCCCTTGTGGGGGAGGGTGTTGCCCCAGTTGAGAATCACGAGGTTAAGAAAATGATTATATGTAGCATGAACTTTACCAGAAGTGTGTTGATCAGATCTTTTCAGAGTCTATGGGGTGGGACTGAGATTCCAACTCTGGTATCGGCCACCAGTTGTCTTGCAACGGAGCCATAATACAGAGACGTAATTTCTCGCCAGAGTCCCTGGCCTCTTGGGATCCCAGGTAGGCTTATACACAATGTGATCAAGCTCTCTGCCCTGCTGCCCGCGACCCCCAGCCCTTGCACTCCCAGATGGGACCTCCCATCCAGATTATCCCCAAGCCTGCTTTGGCTGCCGTCTTCTTCCTGGTTCCCACCCCTTGGGGAAAGTCCTGCTGTCTTTACAAAGTTCAGACAGTTGAGAAGTCCTGATGGAAACTTTGAATAACCAGTTTGTTCCCTCCTTGAGGGTTAGCTGTTCTTCAGAAAAGTGCTTCATTGGCTGGTATGAATCTCCTGTTGGAAGGTGTAGGGAGGTATTTTGGCCTTTTGCAGTCTCTTATTTGGCCACAGCTGTATTAAGCACCATGAGGGGCCAGCGCCACGGCTCAATAGGCTAATCCTCCGCCTGCGGCACCAGCACACCGGGTTCTAGTCCCGGTCGGGATGCCGGATTCTGTCCTGGTTGCCCCTCTTCCAGGCCAGCTCTCTGCTATGGCCCGGGAGTGCAGTGGAGGATGGCCCAAGTGCTTGGGCCCTGCACCCCATGGGAGACCTGGAGGAGGTACCTGGCTCCTGGCTTCGGATCAGCACGGTGCACTGGCCGCAGCGGCCATTGGAGGGTGAACCAACGGTAAAGGAAGACCTTTCTCTCTGTCTCTCTCTCTCCCACTGTCCACTCTGCCTGTCAAAAAATAAAACATAAAAGCACCATGAGGTCCTTTCTTTTCCACCCCGTCTTGGTGACCTCTACAGCTGCCACAGTCCTGGGACAAAGATTACAAGTCAGCCATGACAGAGGAAGCCCGTCTCAGCATCCATGATTGGATCATTAACAATGGTCAGTTATCCGGAAACATTTGGAGGAGACCTGAATGGCGTGCACTTTATGGTCAGGGAACTTCCCTCCATTTGCTAAGCATTATTCTATTTCAACTATTGACTAGCCCATTACCAAAACAAAAACAAAAACAAAAACACCTCATTAGACAACATCCTTTGGGAACAGCGCTGTGGTGCAGCAGGTTAACTAGAGGAGAGAAAAAAATAAATAAATAAAAGGGACTGGCAGGGACACGAGTCTCTCTCTACACTGACCTTACAAAGGCAAGCAAGACAAAGAGCAGGTGCCATTTTGGACATACGTAAAAGCAGCACCCGCCATCAGCCAAGCAGAAAAACCTGACTCTGGTGGGGAGAAGTAATAGGCAGTTAGGACCCAGAGAATGTGTGGAGCTAATGAACTGAGACTGTGAAAAACTGAAGGTGTGGGAGAGAACTCATGGAGATGTGTGGTCTAAAAGATACATGATCTGATTTTAGATTTTTTAAATTTCACACTTGTGTTGTGGCCAATATGTGGTCTGTCCTTGAGAATGTTCCGTGTTCTGATGAAAAGAACGTGCAGCTATCGGATGGAATGTTTGGTAATTGTTAAGTCCATTGGGTCCATATAGTATAATTTAACTCTGATGTTTCTTTGTTGATTTTTTGTCTAGACAGTCTGTCCCTTGATGAATGTTAGATGCTGAAGTCTGCCACTACTGTTATATTGGAGTCTATCTCTCCCTTTAGATATAATAATATTTGTTTTATAAATTTGGGTGTTCCCTACAGCAGTAGGTACATATGCATTCACTGTAGTCATATGTTATTTTGAATTAATCCCTTGATCATTGTATAGTGGACATCTCTCATTTTGCAGATTTTGTCTTAATATCTATTTTGTCTAATATCAGAGTATAGCTCCTGTTTTTGGTTTCCATTTGCATGGAATATATTTTTCCATCCTTTTACCTTCATCTCTGTGTGTGTTTACTATGAAGTGACTTGTTTGTAGGCAACATATCATTCATTCATTGGATCATATTCCTTTTATCCAGTCAACCCATCTATAGACTTTAAATGGGAAGTTTAGTTGATTTAGTTATTAGTGATAAACAGTGGCTTAGTCATTTTTTTTTGTATTTCTTCTATTCATTGATTATCTTACTCTTTTTCTAGTGGGTTTTATGCTTCCCTGTATTTTCATAATGATAATTGCCTTTGTTTCTGTATGTAGGACTCCCTTTGGTATCTTTTGTAATGCCAGTCTAGTAGTGATGAATTCCTTCAGTTTTTCTTGTCTTGAAAAGTGTGTATTTTTCCTTCATTTATGAAAGATAGATTTTCTGGGTAAAGTACTCTTGACTGGCAGTTCTTTTCTTGCAGAACTTGAAATAAATTCTTTTGTTCTTTCCTGGCCTGTAAGGTTTCTGATGAAAAATCTGCTGTTAATATAATCGGGGTTCTTGTGAAGGTAACCTGGCACCTCTCTCTCATGTAGTTTATAGTTCTGTCTTTGTGTTGCACTTTTGATAGTTTGACTGCAATATGGTGTGGTGAAGATTTTTTATTTATTTATTTTACAGGTAGAGTTACAGACAGTGAAAGAGAGAGACAAAGGTCTTCCATCGTTAGTTCACCCCCCCCCCCAAAATGGCCACAATGGCCGGAGCTATGCCAATCCGAAGCCAGGAGCCAGGTGCCTCTTCCTGGTCTCCCATGTGGGTGCAGGGGCCCAAGCACTTGGGCCATCCCTCATTGCTTTCCTGGGCCACAGCAGAGAGCTGGACTGGAAGAGGAGCAACCGGGACTAGAACCTAGTGCCCAGATGGGATGCCGGTGCTGCAGGCAGAGGATTAACCTAGGGCGGGCCCCTGTAAAGATCTTTTCTGATCATGTCTATTTTGGGTCCTGTGGACCTCCTGTACTTGAGTGTTTATATCATTTTCAAGATTGGGGAAGATTTTAGCTGTTGTTTAATTAATATGTTTTCTGCACTTTTATTCTTCTCCCTCTGGAATTACAGCAAATATTAGATCATTTAATGGTGCCCCCAGAGGTCCTGCAGACTGTCTTCATTCTTTTAAAATTTCCTTTCCTCTTTTATTTTTGTATGACTGGATGATTACAAAAGACTTGTCTTCAAGTTCGGAAATTCTTTCTTCTGCTTGATCTAGTCAGTTGAAGCTTTCAGCTGTATTTTTTATTTGACTTATTCAGTTATTCATTTCCGGGATTTCTGTTTATTTTTTTCAAGATCTCTATCTTCTTGCTAAATTTCTCATTCATATCATGCATTGCTTTGCTAATTTCATTAAATTGCCTATCTGTGTTCTCCTTTTTATTATTTATTTGAAAGGCAAAGCTACACACACACACACACACACACACACACACACAGTGAGAGAGTCTTCCATTTGCTGGTTCACTCCCCAAATGGCTGCAGGAGCCAGGGCTGGACCATGCTGAAGCCAGAAGCTTCTTCCAGGTCTCCATGTGGGTGCAGGGGCCCAAGCACTTGGGCCATCTTCTACTGCTTTCCCAGGCACTTCTTTTATCTCTTTGGCTATCCTTATAACCATTCTTTGGGATTCTTTATCAAGCATTTTATCAATCTCCATTTCTGTGGAGTCTGATTTTACAGTGTTGTGAGTTCTTTTGAGGGCACCATATTGCCTTGCCTTTACATATTTCTTATATATCTGTGTTAATTTTTAGATTACTTGTCTGTCATTTTGAAAGGTTGTCTTTCGTGGATTGAAGACTTTTTTCTAAAGATGTCTTTGAGTGTTGGTTTAGAAGGTTTGTTTTGCCTTTGCTTTCACTTGGATGCTAAAGTGTAGCATCCCTGTATCTTCTACCATTGTTAATGAAGGCAGAGGCAGGGGCTCGAGGGAGAGGGGAGTGCTTCTCTTAGTCCACACAGGGGTTTAAGGTCTCAGTGGTGATGGCTGGAGTCATGGCAGTTCCAAGCCCAACACCTGGGCCTGTATGCTCTGCCATATGTGCCCACCAGCGCCAAGGTGAACTTGGACTGTGACAGGGCTGAGTCTGGGGTGCTCACCAAGGTCAAAGCAAGCTGGAGAAAGGGGCACCTGTAGCCTGGACTGCTGTGAACAGCAGATCACACCCACCACAGCTGGAGTGGGCTCACCACAGGGGAGCTGGAGTCCAGGTCACTTGTCCTAGCGGGGGCAAGCTGGAGAAGGAGGCTGATTGCTTGGGCATGTGTGAGCTGCTGACGTATCTGCTAGAGCAGACTCAGGCCACATTACGGCCGTAGTGTGGGGCGCTCACTGAACAGGGGCTTCTGGAGTAGGGAGCTGCACTGCCCAGGTGGGTGAGTACTACCAACTGCCGTGCCCCCCGAAGCTCAGGTGGGCTTGAGCTGCATTGGAATTGGAATCAGGGGTACTCACCAAAGCTGGGAGCTAATAGAGAAGAGAGTTAGCTGCACACCTAGGTGTGTGCACCACCAACCATGCCTGACAAAGATGGGGTGGGCTCTGGCACAGAGGGGCTAGGGGCTAGAGTGTTCACTCAAGCCAAGGTCCATTGGCAAAAAGAATGAGCAGCCCACACAGACACGTATGGCCAGACATGCCCACCAAAGCCCAGGCATGTTCAAGCTGCACCAGGGCTGGGCTCAGGGACACTTGACAAAGCTGGAGAACTCTAGAGAAGAGAGCCTACAGTTATAAGGAGTGTGCACAAAGAAACATGCCTGCCCCCAAGCTAGGGCAGCCTTGGGCTGCAGTGCAGCCAGAGTGCAGGGCCCTCAACTAAAAGTGAAGCCGGCTTGGCAAAGGAAGCTGAGCTCCCGGGTGGATGTGCGTGTACAGCCATGTTCCCTAGAGTCTAGGCGGGGTGGGGAAGAGGCCTGGGGCAGTGCCAGGGTGAGCCTGTTATGCACCATTGTGGGGTGAAGCAGGAGGTGCAGGGGCTAGCCCTGTCTGCGGAGGCAAGTGCCCCAGGTGCAGGGGGCTATCCCTGTCTGCAGAGGCAAGTGCCCCAGCTTGCAAGGTCCTGAAACAGGGCCCTCAGTGCTGGCCCACCTGTCCTGTGTAGTGCCAACCACACCTGGGTTGAAGTGCAGCAGCCACTGTCACTGCTGGGTTCAGCTGGATTTCTGAGGTTGAAGACCTTCTTCTCAGCATGGTAGAATGCCTGTGAAGTCCCAAGGATGGAGATAGGGAGGGACTTCTGTCCCTCAGGGTAGCTGGATTTCAGACAGTGACTCCTTTCTGAGGATGGTGTCACACAGCCATAGCCTTTGTTCTGGGAGCTGCTGGGGAGGCACCGTGAGTTCCTTCACGGGTGCAGAGCTGCCAAGTGTACTCCGAGTACTGGGCTCCACGACTGTGAGTGGCCCTTGAAGCTAAGGTTTTAGATGTTCAGTGTCCCTGCTGGGGCTCTCCCACTCATCCTTGGCCCTGCAATGAGGATTTCCCCTTGTTCCATGGGGCCAGGGTCTCTGCTGTTGGCACACTCTGGTCCTCTGTACTGCGCTCCCATTTCTGTGTCCTGTGGGCTCCCTGCATATTCTACTGAGTTCCAGTCTTTCTCCCCTGGGCACTCATCTTGATATGCAGTTATCTGCTTGTTACTTTGGTTCTTCCCTGTGGAGGAGACGCGTGATGGCACCTCTGTCTGGCCATTGTAGTGCCTCCTATCAAACACTGCCTGTGCCAGCCACAGTGCAGGGCCTTCTACGTTGCTTCTGTTAAACACTGCTTTATTTGATGCATCTGCTGTGCCTGCAGGTCAGGGGTATTGTTAATTTGTAGGTTTTGGCTGCAAATATAATTTATAAAGCTTTCCTCCCTCCCCCTTTTCTTTCTAGCCTGAAAATCTGTTATACTACAGTCAAGATGAGGAGTCCAAAATCATGATCAGTGACTTTGGATTGTCCAAAATGGAGGGCAAAGGAGACGTGATGTCCACAGCCTGCGGAACCCCTGGCTACGTGGGTAAGGACAGTGTGTGTGTGTGTGTGTGTGTGTGTCCCTGCCATCAGTCATCCTGAGCACCTGAGCTTGGCTAATGATCACAGCTGCTCTCATCTCTCTTGGGGAAGAATAAAGGGATGGAGAGACACTGAGCAAGTTGGCAGACAAATGGTTTCCCCTGAAATATTAACACTTGGGTAGAAATCCTGTTTGATTGGGATGTGGGCTTGACTGACAGCTGGGAATTCATGTGGTCGAGTTCTCGGGCCTCAATGCTGAAACTGTTGTCTGTATCTACTTTGCAATGATTTATGGTAAGGCAGCAAGATTACAATAAGTTGCAGACACAGCAAAAACCTTACAGGGACGGCCAGAAACAAAATATTGACCTGAAGAACCTAGTTCAGAACTTGACCAAGTAACTGTCTTGAATCACCAGCTCTCAGCTGTACTGGCCAAAGCCAGGAGTTAAAAGCTTTTCTGAAAATCTGAGGCCTGAGTTCTGTGGACCAACCATACCAGGTACAGAGAGAAATGCTGAGAGACCTGGATACTTGGCTTCTGAGGTTCCCCTTCTGTCTTCCAGAGAGCTGGGGGAAGGCTGTTGGAACCACTGGGAAGTATTTTGAGACCCTCATTTGGGTCAATGTAGTTATTCATTCCACAAATGTATGTGAATAGCCTGTTGCATCCTGATGCTGTTCCGGGCAGTGGGGTTAATGAGAACAGGATGCCTGCCCTCTTAAAGCTCTCATTGTAGCTGGAGTGACAGCAGACAAAAACAAATGACTGAGCAGGGCCATTTCAGATCATGAACTCTAGGAAGATAAAATGGTGTGACCTGTGATAGAGTGGCAGGTGCTGAGCCACTGTGGGGACTGGCTTGACGGGAGAGGGGGAGGTGTGGGCACTGGCCTGAGGGATGAGAAGCCGCCAGCATGCATGAGTTAAGAGCATGGCAGTCTAGGCCAGGGGAGTGACTTCTTCAAAAAGCCCGAGGTGAGGAGAGAAGCTACAAGCTAGGTTCCTCTGAGAGCAGGGAAACCAGAGGTGAGAAAAGGGTTCGCCAAAGCGGAGGCTGTCACGCAAACCCTGCTGGCCCTTCCGGGGAACAGCGGGCCCACTGGGAAGGGAGGAGGCAGTGATGGGTGGCCAGCCTTGTCCCTGCAGGCTGAGCAGAGCAGGCCACAAGCTGAATGGGCCTTAGGGCACCAGAGCATTATGGGAAATTCCCGGAGACCCTGGAGCCAGTTCAGGGCCCTTCAGGTCCTCGCATAATTGCAGTGTCACATCAGACTGGTGCGTCTCAACCGTTTCACCTTTGAAGTAGTACAGAGAAGCCAAGAACAGAGCCGGCTGAGGGCAACGGGGTGTACCGTGAGGGAAGGGGAGGCAGCACCAGGACTCAGAAAGGGAGATGGAGATTTTGGGAGCGCAGCAGGGAGAGAAGCTGGAGGTGGCCCCGGGCGGTGTGGATGTGGAGAGGCTGCCCTGATCCGAGAGGGCAGGGTGGAGGAGCAGAGCTGGTACTCACCTGCAGCAGCGGCTGTAGGGATCAGGCAGACTCTTGTGGGGCAGGTGGGGTCTGGGCTGTGGTGCAAGGCTCACTTGTAAACACCTGGGTATGCTGGGGTGGGAGCAGGGGTGGAGACACAAGTGCAGGTGGTATGCGTCAGGGGTTCTGTTGTTCTGGCCAAGCCATCAGGCAAGCAGCAAAGAAAACCCCATTAAAGATGTGACAGGGAGTCGGGGGCCCTGTTGGAGTCACCGTGAACCAGGGAGGCTAGAGATGCAAGGCCTTTTAGGCCCTGGCATCCCAGCTCCTCACCAGATGGCTTTGCTCTTCTCAGCAAAGTATCCCCTGTGCCAGGCTGCTCTGGCCCAGCCTCCCCCTCCAGGGAGGCAGCCCTCGGGCTGTGACTTGAATGCACTCACAGAGGGCTGTGTTAACACACTCACTGCCCTGTTCTCAGACTTGGCCAGGATGGTAGAAAGCTCTAGCACTTTGGAAATGGACTTTTGCTTCTCTGCATGTGGGCAGAGCCCACGGAATGATGGTTTCCCTGGGTTTCTAAGTGGCTGCCATCTAAGAGGCCTGCTCCTGTTTACTGTCGTGTCCAGCGCTGTTGAGTCTAGCCGTTAGGAGTGGCCCTTGCCCTTAACTACCCTACAGGGAGGCAGGTGGAGCCATTGAGTAACTCTGCTGTGAAAGGCCAAGTTTTCTCTGCCAGCAGCAGGGGAAGAGGAGGACCATTAGACAATCAGCTGTTTGCTGTGTTCCTGTTGGCTGAGACTCTGCTTGGAGAGCTTGATCCTGGAGTGAGCCCTGTGGAGGGCGACACAGTTTAGGCCAGGGAAGAAGCTACAGGAGCAGACCTCACATCTGTTGCAGACACCACTTGGAAGGTCATCAGCTGAGCTTGGGCCATTGTCTCCCCACAGTCTGCATGGCAAGCTCCTATTCAACCATCAAAGCCCAGCTTAAAGAAGACCTCCTGTGATCTCTTTCCCAACTCCCAGCCTCTGCTTTCCCATCTTAGTTCTGTACCTTGACTGTGTGTGTAAGAATGTGTGTGTGTGTGTGTGTGAGTGTGAGTGACAGCCCGGATCACGCTGCATTGGGGCTTGTATCTTTTTTGTGTCTTCCTCACCGTGCCAGGTTTCTCTTCAGCAGAGACTGTGTCCGCCTCAGGTTTATACAGAAGTTTGCAGAATTGACTAAAAATGCAAGGTGCCTGAATGTCAGCCATGCTTTCTTTCTCTGCCCCCCTTCCATTCACTTAGCATGCATTCATTGAATCCCTGTTCTGCGCTGTGGACAGTGTCTGGTGTCTGGATGCCAACATGAATGAAGTTCAGTCTCTGGCCCCCAGATGGGCACAGTGCTTCGAGAGACAGAGGCAGAGAGGTGAATTTAATCATGTATGCAAGTGCTACATTATTTATCCATTCAAGAATGATTTATTTATTTAGTGCCTGCCTTCCATTCCGGGTGCTGGGCTGCATCAGTAGAAAGAAGAAAAGATAAAATCCCCCCATCTCATGGCAAAGAGTGGGAGGGAAAGACTACACATAAGTAACTAAGGTAGTTCCTTCATTTGTAAGATGGTGATAACTACTATGGAGAAGCACAAAGCAGGACTGTGTGTGAGTGTGTGTGTGTGTGTGTGTGTGCAAAAGAAGGTGAGTTTTAGTGATCAAGTATATTTTAAGTATAGTGATCAACTATAGTGACCAAGCAGCCCTCACCAAGAGGCTGACGATGGGTAAAGATCTGAGAGAGGTGGTGGTGTTGGCCATGCTGTTTGGAGGAAGCATCTTCCAAGCCAGTGCAGAGTCTAAGGCAGGAGTAGGTGAGCAGACAGCAAGGAAAAGCGTTGAGCGAAGGGGAGAGGAACAGAAGACCACACAAGTAATGGGTACAGAGCAGGACGTGGAAGTCATTGTGAAGACTCCAGCCTCCTGCAGGGTCACGGGCAGCCCACTGGAGGTTTCTGAGTTACGGCTGAGGGATGGATCTCACCCTGAAGGGATCCCTCTGGGGTGCAGACTCGGATCCGGAGAGATGGCAGAGTGCAGGGGCCATGGCGCGTGACTGGAGGCCATTTAGAAAGCTCTGGCGCTGACCTGGGACATAAGCAGCAGGGACCTGAACCACATTAGCACTGGTAGAAGTGGTGAACAGCCCTGAGATACCACATGAACGTCGGAAGCAGTGTCAAGATTTTCTGGAAATTTGAAATAGAGTTTGAGAGAGAGAAAAAAGCCAAGGAGAATTCCAAGGGTTTTTGTTGTTGTTGTTTTTTGTTTTTGGCCTGAGCACCCAAGTCTCCTAGAACCGAGAGGGCCTGTGCAACAGACCCCTGCAGGGGCATTACGAGGGGTTTGGCTTCCGTTTGCTGACATTTGCGGGGTCACAGCATTCTGATCACGATCAACCAATCAATAAATAACTGTGTTTTCTGTATGCTCTTTTTTTTTTTTTTTTTGACAGGCAGAGTGGATAGTGAGAGAGAGAGACAGAGAGAAAGGTCTTCCTTTTTGCCGTTGGTTCACCCTCCAATGGCCACCGCGGCTGGCACGCTGCAACTGGCACATCACGCTGATCCTAAGCCAGGAGCCAGGTACTTCTCCTGGTCTCCCATGGGGTGCAGGGCCCAAGGACGTGGGTCATCCTCCACTGCACTCCCGGGCCATAGCAGAGAGCTGGCCTGGAAGAGGGGCAACCGGGATAGAATCCGGCGCCCCGACTGGGACAAGAACCCGGTGTGCTGGCGCCGCAAGGCGGAGGATTAGCCTATTGAGCTGCGGCGTCGGCCTGTATGCTGCTCTTGAAGACACCTTCCACAGAATATATTGCAGGTGCATTCTTGTGGGCCTCCCAGCTGCCCACAACACAGCTTGCACCTGAAAGAAGCTGAGTGATTTCATCTTCTTTCTTTGTGCCTCACATCACGGCCTCCATGTGCTTGGGAACAGCAGCCAGCACTCCCACACTGTCTGCTCCCAGCCTGGCTCAGTGTCTTTGGGCTTAGGAAGAAATGTGTGAATATAGGATATAGAAAAACTGCCTTTTCTCCCATGGCTGTCTACAACTTTATAGCTTTAGTTCAGACTGCTGATAGGTAGAAGGATTGCCTTCAGTTTATGAACCATTGCTTTTTTTTTTTTTAAGATGTTTTGATTATTTATCTGAGAGGCAGAGTTACAGACAGGGAGAGGGACAGAGAAAAAGGTCTTCCACCCAGTGGTTTACTCCCCAAGTGGCTGCAATGGCCAGAGCTGGGCTGATCCAAAGCCAGGAACCAGCAGCTTCTTCCAGGTCTTCCACACCCATGCAGGGGCCCAAGGACTTGGGCCATCTTCTACTGCTTCCCTAGGCTGTAGCAGAGAGCTGCATTGTAAGAGAAGCAGCCGGAACATGAGCCTGTGCCCAGATTGGATGCTGGCGCCTCAGGCGGAGTCTTAGCCCACTACGCCACAGCACAGGCCCCACCATTGCTTTTTATTATTATTACTGT